CTGGCAAATCTAGCTTCCTACCAAAACTACGACTGCGACATGCCCCCTTCTCTCACTCTGTTTCTCTGCACTGAGGTTTCCTTGTGTTGTTTTCATGTGAAAGAATACTGTCCCAGAAACAGTTCAATATTTACTCATCTAAATGAGTTCCTGTGGATTTTGTGCTATTGTAAATTGACAGTTGCATTAGACTGAGGTTACGGTTCATTCATTGGACGCTGCTTGCATGAAATAGATTATCAACACAGTCCTGCAACCATTTACACTGGAGCTTAAGGCGCAATAGGCTCGCTTTAGATTTCTCCAAATGATCTGTGCGGTAAATCAAAAAATCATCTTGCACAGTACCTGAGATTCATGCTGCTCTCTGAGAAGCTTCCGCAGTGTTCGGTTTGTGACCTCAAATGTCTCCAGTTTCTGCAGCAGCAGCTCGTTCTGACAGGCCAAGGCTGAAGACTCAGAGCCAAATGGCTTCTTCAGCAGCAAAGACACAGACAGAGATAGAAACACTGCATCAACGAAACACTGAGAAAGCCTCCTGTTTCTTTCTAAAGTTCCCATGTTCCCCTAGTCTCACAGGACACATTGAAAGAGCAGACCCTGAGGTAACACTCACATTGCTACCAGGAGCGCACAGATTGAAAATGGACTCTCGCAGGGCGGAGGCTTGCTTTGCAGCTGCTGCTCCATTCACCTCAGCCTCCATCAGCATCCTGAGTAAAGCATCTTTGTCCTGATGCCCACTGTCACTGTGTAGGAACAAACAGACCTTAAATCACAAACATACTACTACTCGAACATGAGTTTCATAAACGTCATACTCTGAAATGACTGTCCCACCTTTATGTCACTACGCTAACAGGTAGTATAGTTGAAATGCAGTTGAATCAAGCTATTTTCTTTCAGTTGCCTATAGTATAATTAACCACCCAGATCTCTAAGCCCTTTGAAAATGAGGGCAAAGAGAGGCTGTTTGTCACGTGAAGGATTGGGAATGAGTTTGGAATCACATTTGCCTGTTACAGTCATTCTCCTCCAGCATCTTCTCCATGGAAAGCCGTAACCTGGTGTTTTCCTTCTCCGTCTCCTCCAGCTCTTTGGTCACCTCAGCCAGCTCCTCTTCCTGCTCAGCGATCACCCGCTGGGACACGCTCAGCTGCTTCGACTGACGCTCTAGCAGCCGTTCCCTCTTTTGCATTTCTACCTGCACATATACCGGATAGGTATAAGTGAAAAAGGACATGTGGACCAACGCTTTAAGCACAGAAATCGACAAGAAAACCTCGCTGCTCTTTGTGATCATCAGATGTGGCAGTTTAAAATGAGGGCAAGTCTTTCTATGGGGTAAATGAACAAGTTATCCCCCTGCTATACTTATTACATGTGAGTGGCAAGACTGGAGAATTTTGACTAAATTAATACATTTCTACATTTAGATTTTACCATGTGTTTCTGTGTAAATGGTAAATGGACTGATTCTTAAATGGTGCTTTTCTACTCTCCCAAAGCACTTTTTTCTAGTGCTTTCTATCTACCTCTACCAGGCTTTAGTATTACCTGTTGTCTCATGACAGGGTGGTACACTCCAAGCTGAGTTTGTGAAGTTAAAATAGCAGTTAAAATGAAATAAATATGACTGGATTAAAAGCACTTGAGCTTGCAAATTGCTATGTATTTTAGGTTTAACATATTCAAAAATGTTCAAATTTCCAGGAGTATTTAAAACAGTTTCCATGGAATAAACCCATTTATTGTCTGGGTGCCTTAAATGGTTATGTAACAATAAATATGTAACAAGACTCGCCTTGAAAATCCCATGTAAGAAAAATAGAAATCAACAATGTTTATAACATAAGTACGACTAACAAACAAGTTATAATCTGAAATCTGTCTAATTAATAGTAAGGTTAGGGTTGTAGGTTGGACAGTTGCTTGATTCAAACTGACCTCATTTTTCAGCGAGCTGACTTCAGTCAATAAGTTGTCAATCTTCCTCGTGTACTGGCTGATTTGTCCATGTAGGCCTTCTTCCTCCTCTGATGCAAGGTCAGCTAACTGAAGCGCAGACTGCGAGCTTTCAGGCTCTGGTTGCGGTGGTGTGATCTCAAGGTTGTGCGTTGGCCCCTTGGTGCAAAATATACCGTGACACTACATCTTTGATTGCGTGAGTGTTTTTAAAAAAATCTCAGAGTGGACTGGAAACTGAGAGAAGGTATTACCTCCCACTTATATGTAGCATCACGTATGGAGGTCTTTCCTGGCGTGATCCCCAGACCTCGAGTTTTGACTTTAGCCGTGGGACGAAGGTCTGCTTTGTTGACTGCAGTCTTCCCCTTTAAAATACAGCGTGCTTATATTAATTGCATTTATTAGAATGGACATGTACTACGGGCATGAGTGAGCAAACGGCTTATGATCAAGAGATTAGATTAGGAGAAACATTCACAATAAAACATGAACAACATCACAAGACAGACAGTCCACATACAAATATCTAACCTGAGGTGACCTGCCAGGACTCCTCTGGCTTTCCAGGTGCACGTGTACTGGCACGGTGTCATTGATGTGCACATGAATTGGAGGTGAATTTGAGCGTGTTCTTGTAATTTTCCTCTGTGGTACATGAACTTAAGTAAGAATAAGCTTAATAGAACAGCATGTAGCTCAATAAAAAAACAAACAATATCTTAATAATTTGCAAATAAATACGACAGGATATGTGAGTTTGATTGCACAAAATCCATAATTTTCTGTTAAGGTAAATCAAAAACAGCTAGAAAAATTACTGGGTATTCTTTTACAAAAAGAACGTTATGGATATGATCCGAAACAGATTCCGGATCCTGTCCACTCTGGTTACTCCCAATGAAAATCATCAACTGCCACCTCCAGCTCAACACACTCCTCTGCACTCATTTCTCTTGTGCACTGCTTTCGATGTTTCTAAACTTTTCTACCTTTACTAACGCTGCTCCTTGCATGTTCACCTTTCCACCTCATCTACTGTCTGGATTCTAGTGACGCTCGTGCCTCTTCTCTCCAGAACATGCATCCACTTCTCCAGTCTATTCCACCTATTGTTGAAGCTGAGGAGGGGTTCATCAACTTTACCCCTCTGTAGTTACTAGTGCTCTGCACATCTGTCAAGACGTCCACTACTCTGTCTCCCAGACATCTCTATACCTGCACAGGTATGTCATCTGGACGGACTCTTCATCATCTTCACAGCTCCCCTCACTTTCAGATTCCCTAACTTTCCTCATCAGTCCTCGTCTCTCTCGTTTTCTTCATTCATCAGCTCCTCAAAGAACATCTTCAATTTCCTCAACACACTTTCTTCTTAGCACATTTCTGTCCTTCATCAATCTCTCCTGTTCCACATCCTTTCCAGCTTGATCACACAGGCTGGTCCTTTTCTCCTTCCTTAGGAGGAGAAAGGTGCTGTCCTATGTACACAGTGCTTGGACAGCTTGAATCCAAATACAGTGCTCCTGGCCTTGCTTCTATCTGTTCTCCTGCACACGCAATACTTACTCTAAGTGTCGCTCTAAGACTCTACCTTCTTCCTCCTCTCCATCATATCAGCCAACTCTTTTGCCTTGTACCAGACATAGTTCATATATTTCGAAATAGTTCCTCTGCAAACACCTCTGCACTCCTGCCTTTCCTCACGTCAAACTTGCCTTCCCTCTTTCCTCCTAGGCACAGTTTCCACCTTAACTCTTTGGTCTATCAACACCTATCAACACCTATCATTCACTCGGTCACCGACAAATCCGATCCTCATTCTTGTGTTTGATGTCTGATTAGGAAAAGACTTTTGGCTGACGCCCCATTTATTAATGTATAACCAAAGAGTACACTTAATATCGACATTGTTTTAAACAGTTGGCGAAGTTGTCATGAGGTCAAGAAGTATTCCTCCCCATGACATTAGCTTCAAACCTTCACGACAGCATTTTTAGGATGTGTATAGTAAACGAACAAGTCAGGAATCTTACCATAGGAGAGACCGTAAAAATACACCCCCAAAATAGAAATATAATTCACTGGCAAAGCACCATTTAATGCTTCGAGAGGAGTTGGATTGGAGTCAACGCCAACAGACAAAGCTTCTTTCTGGTTGGTTACTTTAAAGCACGTGACGTCTTTCTCAAACAGAGATTGGAGCAGAGTCGACGACGTTACGTCACTTAGCAACACACTTAACAAGCTACCAAAGAGAATAGCTGTATAAAGATGAACCACCCCCCACTCCCCCGCTAGGTCAATTCCATTTTCTAAAGTAAGCTCACCACTCAGCAGCCATCTTGAAACTCACTCGGACTCTTACTTTGAATAATCAGAGGAACAAGAAGCAGTCAAATGTGGTAAAACACATGAAAAGTGTTTTTCTTCTGCCATCATCTTTGCTGTCACGAATCTCATGTTTCTGTTAATGCAATATATGCTAAATGACAGAAAAGGGAAAACAAAAATATACATGAGTACATCCTTCTCTCACCCCAACTGGTCCCAGATTACCGCCCCTCCCTGAGCCTGGTTCTGCCGGAGGTTTCTTCCTATTAAAAGGGAGTTTTTCGTTCCCACTGTCGCCAGAGTGCTTACTCATAGGGGGTCGTATGATTGTTGGGGGGTTTTCTCTGTATTATTATAGGGTGCACTTTACAATATAAAGAGCCTACAGGCAACTGTGATTTGGCGCTGTATAAATAAAACTGAATTGAACTGTTTGTTTGGGAGGAATTAAGTTCAGTGTAGTTGCGTAATACCCCAGCAGTAGCATTAAAGGACCACATATTCACATTTTACTCACCTCAAAATCCTTCTATTTAAAAATTGTTATAATTTATTTATTTTAACTAGAGCTGCAGCTTCTCTCAGTGGCTGGGGGTTAAGTGATCAGGATATGTTCCATAACTTTGTAGATGGAAAAATATTCAACTACAGGAATAAGACAAATGAAAAAAGTGTCTAACACATATGTTTAGATTCAACGTTGTCTGTTATATGTAGAGATGACTTATTCCTTGAGTTAGATCCTTTTTCTGTGCTTGCATGATTCATACGAATGAAAAAGCAGCCAGTGCCCAAAGAAAATCTTTGAAAGATATTTGAAATCTTTGAACCTTGAAACACATCTGTTGAGTGTATCAGCTAATGGGCTGCTTTTAGATTTAAGGTGCTACTCAGGCACACTAGCCTTTTTTTCCACACTACAACACAGCTAAAGGCTCGCTTTACGAACGGGTAAAGCTGATTGTATCACAGAACTCTTTAAACACAAACAACATACAACAATAAAGAAAAATACACACATCATCTCTGTTGTGACACAGGACACTCCTTTAATGAAGCCAAATATTGTTTTCATTATTGGCTCCATCACAGAGGGGGAAAAAGCAACATCTGATACAATAACTGATTTTAATCATTGTTAAGATGGGAACATGAGAATACACCAGTCTTTGGCACCTCCTACTCTAAACAAACATGCTGCTTACAGATAAACATCTGTTCTTTTTTTTTTTTTTAAAGAAATATTAAAAATACATTTGACATTTTGACACTGATAATCACAAGCATGTGACACATGTGGGTATAAAGGACGGGTGCTCCCATCTTTTGGACAATTTTACAAGTAGAAAACAGTAGAAAGGACCCCTGCACATCTGGGGAAGAAATCAGAATTGATCAGTTGGCAGTTTTTTGTGACGTGCGGAAGCAGGTTGCTGACGTGGAGTTGGGGCTTTGTGCGTCCATGTCAAAAACAAGTTTATTTCTTGTGCTCTGTTGGATTCTAATACTGCCTAGGCAGATTTCACCCCCATGGCTGGCCTTCAAAAATATCACTGCATCCTCTGTGCATTTTCACTTTGATTACTTCGAAATGGACTGATTTGGCATGATTGCAACAAAAATATAAAGTGTTTTATGTAGGTGAGACCTGACCGTGTGAATTCTGGAAAATAAAAGAGTGAAACTTTTCAAAATAAGGCAAATTTATGTCACAAAACGTTGAACATTTGTAGTCCTTGAACACCCAACATGTCAGATAATTATGACAGGAATAGCAACATGACAGCAGAAGAGGAATAAAAAGTCTTTTGTGGTTTGAACAGAGTTGGATTTCAGGGTTTAGATTTCCATTTTAGTTTACAGTAGTAATATCCTCTGTATAATCCTGCAGATTACACATTCTGATCAATTCATTGCAGTAATGAACAACAACATAACACACAACATATTACATTTTGTGTCAAATGCAGAAGCAGCGTGTGAAAAAGTAGGCACACTTTAACTGCTTCAAAAGGAATTAAGATGGCAAGCAGCAGCCAGGCACTGCTAATCAAATTCACTTGATTATCTGATCATCAGCAAGTGTGAGCGCCTCTATATAAGCTCAGGTTTAGGCAGTTTGCTGCTCCTGAGCATGCAGGTGTGTTAACACAACGCCAAAGAGGAAAGACATCAACAATGATCTTTAATAAGAAAATGTTGCTGCCCATCAACCTGGCAAGTGTTAAACGGCCATTTCCACACAATCTGTTGTCCACTGTTTGACGGATTATTCACAAGTGGAAAACATGTGCCACCAAATTCAACCCACGGTGAGACCGTGCGATGCTTAGAGACACTGCAACAAACCCAAGAGCTCCATTTCAGAACACCAGCACAAAAACCTCAGACCAACTGTCAGCACGGTGGTGGAGTGATGATGATTTGGGCACCTTGCGGTCACTGAGTGGAGCATGAACTGCTCTGTATAAAATGTTCAAGATTTAAATGTGAAACCATCTGTCTGACAGTTAAAGCTTGGATGAAACAGGACATTAATCCTAAACACAGCAGCTAATCTATAACAGAATAACTGAAAAAAGTCAAAGTCCAGACCTCAACCTGACTAAAATGCTGTGATGAGACTTTCTGATTACTTTGAGTTACTGTTGTTAAATGTGGTTCTACGAGTTTCCGAATCACAGGGTGTACTTAGCTTGTAACACACACTGCTTTTACATTTCGACTTGCAGTGTATAATGTGTCATTTGTTTTTGTTCATTGCTGGTAGTATTTAAATCCTCCTAAAAACACTGACCAAAGGATGTAAAGGATGTAAAGCATGTACTGTGACAGTCTCTCGTTTACGCAGTGATGTTTCCCACACGTTGGTCACATTATGCCTGTAAAAGTTCCATCCGTCTCACAGAATCCACCTTCTTAGTAATTTGTTTGCACAACTTGCAACATGTTGTTTGCATAATTGTATAATCTGTAAATATTTCATTCTCACAAGCTACCTTATTTAAACAAATTCATACATATCATAGAAGATGAGCTTGTTAATATTTTGTTCGCAGAAGCTATTTTAGTGATACAATTTTAGTACCTTGTTTACACAACTTGACATTTTATTTAACACAGCTGTTATTTTGTGTGAACTACTGATGGGTTTTTTTGTTCTATTGTTTAAAAAAAAAAATTGTGCAGTGAATTTACCTCGAGAATATTGCACCAAAAAACATTTTAACAATCTAGTCTTCACATAGCCATTAAATCATGTGACTCACGACCCATTTCCATCATACAGAATGTTATAAACATGTTATCGCACCATGCTTCATATGCTGCTGGGTAGAGTAGTATAAAATTCACTGCAACATGACCCCCCCCCCAAAAAAAAAAAAAGTTTCAGGAAACATCTGTGAGAGGCAACTTTAAATAATACACACTGTTTGCATCAATGATCCAAGTGCTGCTACATAACAAATGTTGCATTTGTGGTGATGTTTTGAACATGAATAACAGAAAGTTCCACAAACGGTTAACAGAAGCTCAAAGTTATGTTCTTTGTTTCTTTTATTTATCAGGTTTCGTCGTTATAATTCCGATGAAAGGGGCAGCAGCAGTTTGTGTTTGGGGTTATTTTCCAATAGAAAAATGCTAATTTTGTGTCAGCAGGCCAAAGTGTTGAATCTTTTCAGAGATCTTTTGAGCTCTGAGAACTGAATGTACAGTAAGAAGTTATAACAACACAGAAACAAGACTTTTGGAATAGTACCTGACAAATTTGTCAGTATGCAGTGTTCGAGGACTTACTGTGTACCATTGATACAAAGTGTTAGAAAACATCATTGGTATTGCAATCCTCACCAACAGCATTACGTTTGAGCACCACAGAAATCTTTCTCATTCTTTTTCACACATGTAAATGACATGTTATTGCTGCCTACTTAATACAGCCAACTGCTATTAAAAACATGACAAAAGATGAAAAGTTTAAAATCAGTGACCCACGTAACTTTTACTCTTCGAGAGAAAGAAGGTCACCAGTGTGTAGGGCTGGTATGAAGAACAACAACATGAAAGCATTTTTCAATTTCTGGACTAAAGAACAACTAACAAGATCAGAAGAACATTAAATCTCATAAAGTGCAAGCCTACAATATTTTAAATGTCATAACTGTCAATACAGGAAACACATTACGGTAAAAAGAAAAGAAAATGTAGAAACAGCTGACTTCCATAGACAAATGTAACACTGAGAAAACACTCGTCCTCTGCCTCTCTTCACATCCTCGGAAAGCTGGAATGTAACTAGAGAAAAATGGTCAAAGAACAAACTGGCCTCTTTACCATGTTGCTCCTCCTCGCTTTAACTTCATATTTCATTATGGATTACATACATAGTCTTGCAAAATACTGAACAAACACATCTCTGCGCAACACTATTATACATCATGTGTGCACACTCCAATGGTGGCAATAACAAAAAAATCAACACTAAAAAGTCAAAAGTCATTTCAACCAGCTGCTTCTTGCATTGCTGTATCATTCCAACATTTCAACAAGTGCAGTTAAATTTCAGCAGCCATGTGCAGTCACTTTCCCCTGCTGCTGCCAGGAATAAATCGACAGCAGTTCCCGATAAACCTTTGGACCTTTTACATCTGCCCCGCTACATTAAAGATATGAGGCATGCATATTAGCCAATGTAATACTGAAAGTTTGAATATAAAGACAATTTTACTTTTTAGCTAATACCTCTTAGATGTTAGAGGTTTCAATGGAACTGGTTGGTGATGTTATATACTATATATATATACACACACTTCTATTCACAAATAATCACATAAAAAGACCAAATCAACAATGAATGCATTTCAGTTTGTGAATCCTTCAGGATTTTCAAAATCGACTGAAATGTGACCAAAAACATCAAATGTTTTCTCTAAAAGACAATTAAATAATCAAACAAAGAAAGCTACCAATAAGTTGGAGGTAAAATTGAGCTAAAATTCCTCCAAGCCTCTGTGAGAGACAGATTGTGAATTGAGAATTAAACATTTAATGGCAAATGGGAGGCGGTTTTCCACTGCAGGAACTCGCAGGCTGGTCTAGTGCAGCCTTCTCTTTAGTATTCATTCTGAACTGCTACAGTTTTCAGGATGGCTAACAAACCTACTGCATTAGCAGCCCTTACAACCTATTGGGGACTCACTCACTGGTTAAACTCTAAGATTTCAACAACAAAAGCCAAAGTCTATATGCTTTTAAAACACAAACAAATGTGCAAAATTTGCAACAGACACTAATATAACTGATCGCAGATATGTCAAATTGCTCTTTTTATACATTTATGTATGCTTTTATGAAGTTTTAGTACTGTGCTATGCAAGTTCTCATATGGATTTGATATCAATGTAGGTTTGAACCCCACTAAGATTAGCTTTCCTTTAAGACACAGCTAATAGGGATTCTAATATCCATCTATGGGTCTAGGATTTGAAGGCCGTAGTTTTGGCAGAGATTGCAGGGAAGCTCGACCCCCCAGCGGGCCCTGGGACTGTCATGGTTTTTTCTCCCAGTAGGACGTGCACCTCACCTAGCAGGCATCTAGTCAAATGCTGGAACAACTTCACGTGGTTCCTTTTGATGTGGAGGAGCAGAAGCCGTACTCTGAGGCTCTTCTGAATGACTCATTCAGCTGATGCCCGATCACTTAGGTGAGCCTCTAATGTATTTAATACCAGGTCATTTGTCAATCAACAGTATTCTTCATTCTCATTGGTGGTCACTTAAGTCGCTCACCTGGAAGTTGCGTCGCCAGCATGTTTTTCGCCCATAGTCACTAAATACTGTTCACTTTCTATGGTTTCTCATCGATATGAGAGAGTGAATGCAGGTTATCGCCACGAGACACCAGAGTTGGTTCAAAGGAAGCTCTGGGCTATAATCTCTAAAGTCACTCCCTGCAGCTTGGGGCCACAGGCAAGGGTAGAAACAAAGCTCATCCAGAAATTAAGTTTTGCTTTTAAGATCCTGATAAATAGGATCCTTATAAATAAACAAACAGTGACTATTTTGGTTTCCTTTATTGGCATTCATAGTAAACTTTTGGGGCAGCCCTGAATTCCTGCGGTGCAAAGTTGCCTGGAACCATCTTTGAGCTTAAAGGAGTAAAAGCCACCAGCCAGTATGGTGACAACAATGACTTAAGGACATAGCGAGAGAACGACTGGTATTTCTTGTGCTTTATAAGAAAGCAGCTAAGGATGTTCTGATTAGGTGGCAGGCCACACGTTAATGCTGTCATCATGAAGATAACAGGTGCCTAGCCATTTCAGTAATAAAAGTAACGATCTGTGTTATCAGAAAGCACAACAATTTGAACCTCTGACAGGTCACCACCTCTCCCACCTCTCACTAGATTGTCTTCACCGATTGACCAACTAAACTGTACAGGCCCATGCAACACATGCACTACTTCCCTTTACTTTCTCATTCCAAGTCATCTGAACATCTACAATTTCTTTTGTGTGGTGGAGCATCCTCTTTGGAGCACACAACTAACTGACACGCATCTTTGCCTTTTTTAGCATGCAAGTACAGCACAGTGAAATGGGAAATGAAGCACTATCACGTCACACAAGGCTGAAAAAAAAAGTCTCCGAATTAGTTTGATAATGATATGAAAGCGAATAACTAACTCACAACATGTGGCGAAACAAAACCTCATGCACCTTTAGCGTGCTGCAAGTTGATACACAAAGCGCTGTTTGGCAAACACAAAACTCCAGCACTAATAATATTTTTGGTGAATAATGTGCTCATATAATAACTGTTACATTTCCTGATGCATTTTTAGCTCTACCATGCTTGTCTTTTTACAGGTGGATCAAAAACCACACGAAAGCTGCCAAGAATGTTTCCTTTCTTTGTTCCTTTACGTTAATAAATGATGAAAAATCTTTTTACAACAAACTACCGAGGCTGTTATCATCTTGATGATAGTCTGCTGTGATGAAAAAAGTTAGAAGCTGATAAACAAGAACTAGTAAGCTGAACGGTAACGTGAAGCGTCTCATTTGTTTTACTCTTATGTTGCTCATATTTACCAGGCAAGCCAATGAGAGTCAAAATGGGGAATTTATGAGAAGAAACTATGTGAACATCTTTCTGTTGCATGACATTAACACTTACATGGAGGACATGAACTTGCATGTTGTTGTTGTTTTTTTTTTCATTAACTGTTAAAAAAACAAAATGACTATGAGGGCTTTGGCAGTGGAGTCTGTATTTACATATACGCCATACTGCCCTGTGTGAAGATGTTAGTAGGCTTCCAGTGAATCATCCCAAAATAAGCTCTGCACGTCCAGCATGGTCGCCAGCTCCAAAATATGCTTCTGTAGAAGGCTGCTCTCCACTGTGTCCTGTTTGGGGAGCTCTGGATAGGATTCCGGGAAACTCTGAGATTCCTGCAAGCACACAAACATCCAAATTGTGTTTTAGCCACCTGACAAAAATACTTTGGTGGTTACTGAAGGGTTCTCAATCTAAAGTGAGAATGAAAGGTTTAAGTGTTAAGAAGAGCTTCCTTCATTTACGAGAAATTTAAAAAATACATGATTTAAATAGCATTTAAATACAACGAGAAGGTTAAAAAATTATTGTATGCAAGTAAACTCTTATAATTTTTTTAAAAAAAAAAATAGCAGTTTATTTTGAAAGTCATCTGTTATTCTCATTTATTAATATTATTTATTATTGCCCCCATAATAACATAAAAGTGTTTTTTATTGAGTTACTCGATGGAATAATCAATATTAAAATATTGATTATTAAAATAATCAATAACTGTAAACCTGTAATAATCTGGGGACTTTAGTGGGTTCATTTACTGAGTATTTGCTGACATGACATGACTTCCTGATGATGCATAAATACGACTCACTGCAAGTGCTTAAGAAACACTGGTTTGTGGAAATGCATGGTGCATTTTTGACATACAAACTTAAACAATGTGGCTCCTTAAGGAAAGCAGACTTACCCGAAAGAGTTTATGCAGTCTCAGTGCGGCGGAGCAGAACACAAAGCGGATCAACAGCAGCCGCAGGAACTCGTCACCAAAGAACTGCAAAAAGGCTTGATCTGCATTAAACAATGTGTAAATAAGTCGATCAACAGAAGATGAATGTATCCCAATTTATTTCAGTGCAGCCTTAAATCCACCATAGATTTAAACTTCTCAAGAAAGAGAGAAGTTTATTTTCATGGAGGGACCTACAAAGCTCACCTTACAGTCACAAATACAGTACACATGGGTCGTCACAGTAACCCTTTCATAGTCCATGCTAATCTCCATAACATACCTATGGTCCGCGATCGTGTGAGCATCTGCCCAATGTCACGGTACACTTTGCGAAGGAATTCTTGAGCTCTTTCCCAAAGACCTCGTTGCACACTGTTTAAGCCACACACGGAGGAGAAAGCCAAGAGCGGACTGTAGAGGAACAGAGTGAAGAGACTCCCACGCTGAGACTGATCTAAACAGGTGAAGCAGAGACATTGTAAACTGAAAGGAAATTCGATGCCTGAAAAGCTTCCACTGAAAGCAGCATCTTTACCAAACATAAAAATACTGGTAGATACCAATGACACCCATGTTAAATGTGGATTAATCAGCTGCTACAAATAGTCCAGAATTTACTTTTGTCTAACTAACATTAGACTAAAAGCCAAAACACTCAGACAGCGGAGCAACAGAGAGGAAGTTAGGCAAACAGACAAAGATGGAGTTCGTTTAGGTCTTCTGGTTAAAGGAGTGTGGTTCTGCAGTGACACTCACCTTGTACACTCTTGGGATATACCGTAGGTGATAGTAGGCACACCAGGGGCTGGCCAAATAGATTTGTAAAATTCTAATAAAACAAAGATAGAAACAAGCCTTTTAATTATGGAAATATACTTACAAACAAACAGTGGCATGTTTGATATATCTGCTGTGGACACTAGTGACATTTTTAATCTTGAAGACAGATTGAGAGACATTCACACAAAAGCTGAACGTCTGACACAAACTTGTGCTGTGTGATGTGAACAGAGGTGAGCATCAGCTCAATTTATAAATATTTCGACTTTGGCAAAAAATTAGCTTCACATTTTGTCAGGAAACCCATGAGCAGATTCTCTCATACACCTTCATTCTCAGCATCACTCGCTCCCCTTTAGCAGTAATATCCCCTACATTTTAATTCCCTACTCTTACCTCGACCCCCCTCGTCTAAAACTAAGAAACACTGAAATATTAATTTAAATTTATGTATGTAAATCTACGTAAGATGAGACAAGATGTTCAAAACAACAAGTTATGCAGCTATTTTCTTCCGCTTATCTGAAGTCGGAT